CTGAAATGAAATTCCATCCTGATAGGGAGAAGCACAAACAAAAATCCGTGTCCACTTGTGGTGTGGGCACTGTGTGAATCAAGTAGTGAGTGAATCCCTTGTACCATTTGCCTTTTCTAATCTCCATTGGCTGCAGACGATGGAGGTGGGTTGTATCTTCTACGCTGTGCTGCTCTCCTGTAAAACCAGTAGCCGAGGGTGGGGGGTTTCTCAAACTACCCAAATGCAGGGCACAATGTGTGAGACAGACTTGTAGTGAGGAGCACAGAACTTAAAATGCGATGATATTCCTTCTTTTAATGTAAATACTTTTCTGGCCCTTCTGTCACCTGGTTCTTTATTTCTGAAATGAACTGGAGACCATCCCACAGGGTGAGATATTAATGTCTTAGGGCTTGTCTGCACTTGAAACGCTACAGCGGCCCGGCTGTAGGGTTACAGTGTAGATGCTAACTACATTGATAGATGGGGTTCTCCCGTTGAGGTAAGTAATCCACTTCTCTGAGGCTCTGGTTACATGGGCAACTGAACAACACCCCACTGAAAGACACAAGTTTTGCCAGCCACAGTCACTAGGCGAACAGCGCTCTGTCTGCAGGAGCGGTCTCCTGTCAGCAAAGCTACTGACGCTTGTTGGGGGTGGAAGTATTTTGTTGGTAAAAGAGCTGACAAACAACCCACATACTGTGTGACATTTAGCAACACAGCTGCATTACTACAGCCATGTCACTAAAAGCTGCATAGTGTAGGCAAAGCCTGAGAGATGGTAACTAGATTGATAGAAGAACGTTTACACTGGGAGTTAAGTTGGTTTAACTGTTCTAGATTTTGTACACCCCTGAGTATTGTAATTAAGGTGACTTCATTTTCTAGTACAGATCAGGCTTTACGGACAAAGATGATTTCCTTCTGCTCTGGTGATTCTGGTGGTAGGGATTAGTAAGTGTTCAGTCCCTCACGTACGTCTGTGACTCAGCTTATTATCTGGGAAGTTTTGTTCCTGTGCAGAGAAATGAATTGGTGGTTCAACTAGACTTTCTTGAGTAGCTGTTTGTTCTGTGTTTTTAAATCTGTAGGCGATTTGACTCCTGCACCCTCCTGTGCTGCGGCAATGACGGGGAAATCCCTGCTCTTAAAAGTCATTCTCCTGGGGGACGGCGGAGTTGGGAAAAGTTCCCTCATGAACCGTTATGTCACCAACAAGTTTGACTCGCAGGCTTTCCACACCATAGGGGTGGAGTTCTTAAACCGTGATTTGGAAGTGGATGGCCGTTTCGTGACCCTCCAGATTTGGGACACCGCAGGGCAGGAGCGCTTCAAGAGCCTGCGAACGCCCTTTTACAGGGGAGCAGACTGCTGCCTGCTGACCTTTAGCGTAGATGACCGCCAGAGCTTTGAGAACCTGGGCAACTGGCAGAAGGAGTTTGTCTATTATGCAGACGTGAAGGATCCCGGCCACTTCCCATTTGTGGTCCTGGGCAACAAGATCGACAAACTTGAGAGGCAGGTGACCACAGAAGAGGCCCAAGCATGGTGTCTGGAAAATGGGAATTACCCGTACCTGGAAACCAGTGCCAAGGATGACACCAATGTGGCCGTGGCCTTTGAGGAAGCCGTGAGGCAGGTGCTGGCGGTGGAGGAGCAGCTGGAGCACTGCATGTTGGGGCACACCATTGACCTACACAGCAGTTCCAAATCAGGGTCTTCCTGTTGTTAGGAGTCACCTGAGGGTTGTCCCCAAGGGTGGATTGTGCAAATGGCTCTGGGTCATGCTGAGATCTGCAGACAAAAAGGACGATGGGGGCGGGGGGGGTCCCTGGCTGTAGGAGGTGCAGCCTTTCTAGCTGACTGACTGTTCGGAGTCTTCGGGTGTGAAGAAAATGGTTTATGGGAGGGGTCTAACCAGGTGTGTTTGGAAGCAGGTCTCCCCCCTCCCTTCCTTCCTTAATCCAATCCTTAGATGTTAGAATCTGAGAGGGTTGCAAATCGTGGCCTGTGCCAAGATCTATCCCCACAACAAGCCTTGTGGAGCTCTAGACATTCCCCAGGTTGTTTCATTCCTGAACTGAAAAGTCCGAAGCCCGCTACGCTCTGCTGCACCATACCACTGCGTGCTGCCAAAGGAAGGGTGGATCAGTTTGCTGCACAGTAGCAGGAAGATTTCAACCTTGAATTGTTGTGAGGTTGCCAAATACTGTAATGGACACACGGAGTTCTGTTGCGTGGGCTAATCCCCTGCCATCCTGATGTGCCCCAGTCTTTCGGACTCTCAAAAGAAACTTGCTGCAGAAGGATTCCATGAGTGATCACACTGGGAAGTAACAGTGGAAGAACAAAGCATAGGGGAGTGGAGTGTTTTTAAATATTGCAGCCTTAGTCCTAGCCAGCTGCCTACTGTGGTCAGTTGTCTTCCCATATCTAACTTGGCTGCATAGGGATGTTTCTTTCATAGTGTGACTTGGTTCCGGGTGCCCGTGTTTTCTAGGCTCAACACTAGATGGAGCTGCTCACCTTTTGGGTGACACTGAGCGAAACCCGCCTCGCCCCTGGTCCCAATGGCTTGCCTGTGAGGAGAGCTTTAGACTGACTGTGGAAGGCCTTGGAGACTGAGTGAACCTTTCACAAGTCCTGCTGCCATGTGATTGCCAACAGACCAGGGCCCTAGCTGCAGGCTCCTTCACTGTGGGTGGACTCCTAGAAGTGCAGATGACTGGTGGCCAGTAAGGCCCCCTGTTTGATAAGTGTGCTTGGGTAGCAGGCCTGGTCCTGACTCTGTTTTGTTAGCTCTAGGGTCACGGCCTCAAGCCCCTCCGCACTCAGCTCCTTTAATCTGGATGCTGCGGTTCTGAATCAATCAATCTGGGCAGCCTCAGAATGGCTGAAAAACAACATTTTGTCGAGCAAACGTCTTACAGGGGCTTTGCTAACCCAAGGGTGTGGCCTGCTGGTGGCTACCAGTCTCAAGCTACCATCTGCAGCAGAGGGGTCAGTGCATTCTGCAAATTTACGCTCTGCTGGTCCAAGACGAAGTTCTGAGGACTCTGTAACTGTAGAGCAGCCTGTCCCAAGGAGAGCAACCCTGCAGTCATGTCAGTGCTGAGGAATGGGGCCATCATGGGCTCTGTTGATCCCGCGTAAGACTCGAGGGCAAGTCTCACAGCTCAAATATAGCAGCTTGGTTAACTTTGGCTCTTGCAGCTGAGAGATTCCACCGTGACGCTGGACGGTGTTAGTGTCAGTTGCTTCCGGACTCCTGCTCAGCCGGGTGAGCGTGGACTTGCGGGGACGCGGGATCACTCTGCCCTTGCTCTGCAGGGCAGGAAGGTGGAAGTAATGATGGCTGCAAAGGTACTACAAGAGTGGGGCTTGGTTTTAGTCATGTTGCACACCCATCACTCGCATCAACAGAAGTGGGCAATGCTTGATGCTTTGGGAAAACCAGACCCATAGTATTTGCGGGGGATCCCTGCGGTCGCCTGGCTTCCACAGGTGCCCTACAGCGTTACTAAGGGCCTCGCCTTCATTGTAATGGGACTCGATAATTCCAGTGTAAATGCTATGGCCCAGAGTCTAAGTGTAGACAAATTGGGGAACCTGAAAAAGCATTCTAGCTGAGCCAGTTTCTAAGGTAAAAGTTAGTGCAGATGGGGCAACAGGTGTTAGAATACTTGTAAAGTCATAGCGATGGAGCCTAAATGTATTTGGTCCAACTAGGTCAGATGTTAGTTGAATCCCCTTTCTTTGTTACCATGCTATTTTTCCAGCCTAGTATTCACATGATCTATATGCGCATTGACCCTTCCAAAGAGTGCAGTGACTGTGAACAAGCTGTGATATGTGCGGGACGATGCACACCAGGGTATATTCCTGTACTTTGGGTGCTTGTTGAAGCTTATGGCTGAAGCTTGAAAGCCTTCACCATATGTGACCTGTGTATATAGGTTAATTGTCTGTATAACCCTGGAGTGTGTCAGTGTCCTTTGTTCATTTTTAACAAGCTGTCTGGTTTTTTTTAAAGAACAAGTATTTTATTAGGCCTGTGTGTGTGTAAATTCAGTTTTTAAAAACAAGATTAGTATGTTCTGTTTGTGTTCATTTAATTTATTTTCAACCCACGCGCGCACAATTCCTGGGAGAGCCAGGCTTGTGAATTCTTCATTAAAGGTTGATTGCCAACAGCTTGCCTCGCCTGGCCCTCCTTGACACACTGTTGCAATCGCTGCTGCTGCTAAAGAAACTGGGATTGTAAAACCGATCGTTTACCTTGGTTTTAACCAATAAAACATGGTTGTATCCAGTGACTGGTCATGTGGAGTCTGTCCTCGGTTGGCGTAAAGCGGCATAGTTCTCCTGAAGTCAGTGGAGCTGCTAAATGACCCCACCTGGAAGTCTGGCCTGAGATGTGGCTATCTGGCAGCAAACTGTAGCCAAGGGGTCTAAGTGCCAAGTGCAGAGTGGGTCTGGTTATTTCTGAATATTTCTAAGCATCATAATTCAAGAAAAGCAACTAGGGGACGTGCAGGGACTGTGTCCATGCCCTGCAAACTTGGTGGGATCTTGCTCCATCCTCTTCTTATGCCCAGCTGCTAGCCTTGTACATCCTCTGACCCTGCAATGCTCAATGAGAATTGAAGCTGCCAGTCTGTTTAAAACATTCATCAGTTGGCAGTTTCAAGTACCAGGGATTTAGCCACAAAGCCAGAAGCCTTGTCCATAAAAGCCGGACCACAGCTTGGTAGATTGAGTAAATAAACCTTTTAAAATCCTCTCTAGAGCCATTAGCAAAGCAATAATGAATGGCTGAGCGCTCCCAGAAACTCAGCCAGGCTTCCTAGTTGACCAAATGTGCGTCCCCATGTTGCATTTTCCTGTAGCGTTTTTTTTCTCATGTCTTGTTACAGATGCCGATTGCTTATATTATCACAAGTGGTTTCAGTGGACATAATGCTGATGCCACAGGCGGAAAATGGGACTTGATGTTAGGGGAAGAGGGAGTGTTAAAAGTATCCAGAGAGCAACTTTTTGTGCAGGCGGCAGAGGATGTGGTAAGAGAAATTCCCAGTCATGCTCAAATAGAAGCAATGCTGTTTCTAAGAAGGCTTTCCTATCAGTTTCCAGCATGTGCCTAAAATGGCTCCCCTCACTGCAGAAATCCAGTGTTCTTTGATTGTTATATTCGTTTCCATTGCCACTGGTAAGGGCCATCATCACTTAAGCACTCCAGTTGACCAAGATTAGGCTTTTAAAAAACAACCAACAATCATCCAAAATACAGGATTTGGTGGTGATGGGGACGTCAACCATCCGGGTAAAACAAATGCAGCAGGGCATGGATTATCCAACAAGTTATTGGAATGCTCTGAGAGCTTTTTATTCTAAAAGGTGGAGGAAGCAATAAGGGGAGAGGCTATTCTGGAACTGATTCTGATGAACGGTAGAGAACTTGAAGGTGGAAGACAGCATGAGAGGCCAGGATTGTGAAATGATCTAGATCACAACTTTAAGAAATGGCAGGAGAGAAAATGGTAGAATAAAGGCTGGACTTCAAGAAGGCTGACTAGCAAACTCAGAAAATTGGTAGGCAAGATCCTGTGAGAAGCAAGCCTAAGAGAAAAAAGCATTTACGACAACTGCCAGTTTTTTAAAAGGTCACAAGCAAACTGTCCCTCTGAGTGGGAAAGATAGAAAGTATGGTAATAGACCATCCTGGCTTAACCAACCATGTAGAGACAAAATTAGAAAGACCAAGGCACAAAATCAGACTAAATTAAGTAGGGACCTGAAGGTAATAGTAAAACTCTTTACAAATAAAGAGAACCAAGAGGAAGACTAAGGACAAAGTAGGCCCATTGCACAACGAAAAGTGAAAGACAATGATAGAAAATACAGCAGTGGCTGAATGTTAAATGCCCTTTTTGTTTCAATTTTCACCACAAAAGTCAACAGTGATTGGATGACTAACATAGTTAATTTACATCCATATAATTGGGGTATAATCTGAGGTTAATGTTGGAAAAGAACAAATGAATTGCTTAGACAAATTAGATATCTTCAAGTTGGCAGGGTCCCTTGTAATATATCCTCAAATAATTAAGGAACTGGCTAAAGAGATTTTTGAGTCATTAGCAATTATTTTTGAGACCTGAAGAAGGATGGGAAAGACACCCAAGGACCAGAAAAGGTAAAATATAGTACCTGCGTATAAAAAGAGGAATAAAGGACAATCCAGGGAATTCTAACCAATTCGCATAACTTCAGTACCCAGAAAGAAAACGGAGCAAATAAATAATTGGTTTGTAAGTTCCTAGAAGAAAAGGTGACAAGTAACACAACATGGATTTGTCAAGAACAAATCACGTCGAACCAACCTATTGTTTTTCTATGACAGGAGAATAAGGGTGTGGATGGTGGGAGTGGGGGGAGAGGGGAAACAGTAGATATGCTATATCTTGATCTTAGTAAGTCTTCTGATACTGGCTTATATTACCTGATAGAAACTAAAGCAATATAGCCTAGAGGAGTTTACAAGAAGGTGGGTTCCCTAGAGGAAAAGCATACTCAGAGTAGTTCTCAATGATTGTTAATCAAGCTGGGAGGCCATATCAAGTTGGGTTCTACAGGGATCTGTACTGAGACTGGTTCTATTCAATATCTTCATTAAGTACTTGGGCAGTGACAGAGTGCATTTATCGAGTTTGTGGATGACTTTGGAGAGCAGGTAAGAATTAAAAATGATCTTGACAAAATGTAGAAATGGTCTGAAATAAGTAGGATGAAAGTCAGTGAGGACCAATGCAAAGTGCTAAATGTAGGAGAGAATAAGCAACTCCACAAATACAAACTGGGGAAGGACTGCCTAAGAAAGCATTGCAGAAACGGATCTGGGGGAGCTAGCAGATAGCCAGCTCAAGATGAGTTGGTAATATTGTTGCCAAAAAGCAAGCATCATTCTGGAATGTATTAGTAGGAATGTTGTAAGCAAAACACAAGAAGTAATTCTTCCACTCTGCTACTCTTCCATACTAAGGCCTTAGCTGGAGTATTGTGGCCTGTTCCAGGTATCTCAGTTTGGGACAGATGTGGGCAAATTGGAGAAAGTCCAGAGGAGAGCAACAATGATGAAAACATGACCTATGAGGTGAGATTGAAAAAACGGTGTTTGTTTAATCTGGAGAAGACAGGAGGTGGGGAATATGGTAGTCTTTACATTTGTAAAAGGTGGTTACAAGGAGAAGGGAGAAAAACCATTGAGAATAGGGCAAGAAACGGGGGCTTAAATTGCAACAAGGCAAGTTTAGGTTAAAACTTCCCAACTGTGAGGATAGTTAATTTATTTCAATGTTTATCTAGGGAGGTTATGAAATCTGTCCCTGGTGATTATTAAAAAGAGCAGGCTAGGTAAACAGCTTGTAGGAATGGTCTAGTTATTACTTAGTCCTGCCCTGTGTCCAGGGTGATGAGTGGAGAGGAGCTGTAGAGGTCTCTTCTGGTTCTACATTTCTATGATTCAGTGATTTTTGGGAGCTAGACACTTAATGTCTTTTGAGGATCTGAGCCACAGTCCCCGTTGTTAACTGTGTGTAACACACCTACAGATGTTGCTGTAGAAATTGTTCCAGCGCCCCTGTCCTCATCCCTCCTAGTCTTTGAGCCACTTGACAATCAGATCTTAGTTAATGGTCTACTTCTACCCTTGGCTACAACAGTAGAAACCAGACAGGTGTATTGGATGGTGCAGTGAGAAACTCAGTAGTACTGATGGGGTGCTCACCTGCCTTTCCACTTCTTGGACTGCTGGTGAAAACGAGAGCATCCCCAGAAGCTCTTAGCTATACCTTCCTGCCGGCCCTTCTGTGCTGTTACGCCCCCCGCTGATGTGCTGGCAGCTGTTCTGAAGCACTGCTGCATGTCAGACTAGGCAGAAGCTAATATGTAATGGTAGTGCTGGCTTGGACCCATGTGGGGCACGAAGGGGTCACCACCCATCAGCTACTATAGAAAAATGTCTTGCTATCACCTGTTTGGCACATATCTGGTAACCCCCCTCCAGGGGGGTGTTGGCACTAGAAGTGCCGCTTTTCCGCCTCATGAAATGTTCATAAGCATCCAATCCAAAGAAATCAGAAATTCACACAAAGGGCCAGAACTCGAAACACATTTGCACCCAAGTATCAGAAAGCTTTGAAATACGATTGATAATGCACCTGTGTACTCAAGAGAGCACAGTTTGGAGAACGGCTTAGCCCCATGTCCTCTCTTGTGCATTTTTCAACAAGGGGGATGCTGACACTGTACCCCAAGTGCTGCCGACAGCACCTGTTTTTTGCCCATCTCTGTTGGTTACTGTGCTTGGAGGTGTGGGAAACGGGCCTAGCCGTGCTTAGTGGACAGACGTAGGGTGAGTCTTCTCCGGTGAAAGAGTGCAGTGCAAGTTCAAAGCAGCATGCCAGCACAGAGCTCCAGAGGGCGGGGGTGGCCCCTGACTTTACACAAAGGACACTGGCACTGCTGATTTCAGCCACAGGGAGGAGACTGAAGACTAGGAATCCATCTTAGTGCCATGGTGAATCCTCTCCACAGGGGGCAGAACACCCAGAGCTTTGCAGAAGCGGTTTCTAAGGCCAGGTCTACACAAGGGGCCAAAGTCAAACTAGGGTTCACAACTCCAGCTTGTGGCTCACACACCTGGGCTGTGTCTACACTGGCATGAATTTCCGGAAATGCTTAAAACAGAATAGTTTTCGTTATAAGTATTTCTGGAAAAAGAGCGTCTACATTGGCAGGCTGCTTTTCCGGAAAAGAGCCCCAATCATCATTTTCGCGATCGGAGCTTTTTTCCAGAAAAGACTACTGGGCTGTCTACACTGGCCCTTTTCCGGAACAGTGTTCCGGAATAAGGACTTATGCCCGAGTGGGAGCAGCATAGCTTTTCCGGAATAGCGGCTGATTTTGTACAGTAGAGCGGCGTTGCTTTTCCGGAAATTCAAGGGCCAGTGTAGACAGCTCGCAGCTTATTCCGGAAAAGCAGCTGATTTTCCGGAATAAGTGGCCCAGTGTAGACACAGCCCTGCAGAATCTTGCTGTAGTTGAGCGAGGGAGCAGAAGCTGTTGGCAAACAGCTACTAGCAGGGGTCTTTCCCGCTAGGCTGGCTATCAAGACCGAACTATACCCCCCCTGTAGGAGCAAGAGATTCAGAGAAGCAGCTCGTCTGGATGGCTTTCCCCTGTCATCTCTACTTGGCACTCGTGTGGCTCACGCCTATGCCAGAGCCGGGGTCAGGCCGGCAAAACTGCCCGGGCTTATTGTATTGCTTCC